AAAAAGAGGAGGATTGGCAGATGTTAGCTCACAGCTGATCTTCCTCACAAAAAAATAAAAAAGTAAAAAGGACTCGATGGTGTTACTTCCAAGGGACTCTGCTGACAGGGGCCCCGGGGGAATCTAAGTAGTCAGGAGTCATTTGTAACGAACAAAATTCATTCTTCAAATATAAAACTGCAGCTAAAATCATGAACAAATTCATTCTTGGAATATAAAACTGCAGCTAAAATCGCGACTTGGCCTTAGCTCCAAAATAGTCTCACTCTGCCTTTTGTTGATATCATGAGGGGTGAGGGCAGAGTCAGAGGAGGGAGAGCCTGCCACACCCCCCTTCACTGAGGAGGAAGCAAGGAAGCCCCCAGGCCACCTGCCACCGGCCTGCTCTCCTCCAGATAGGGGCTGGAGCTTCACCAGCCACGGCTCCACCCTCAACGGGTCCAGACCACTGGGGGCTGCATCGGCTGTTTGTTGCTGTCTTTAAAAAAAAAAACCATAGTGGGCTTAACGGGCAGTTCCAGCCTTTTCTGCGTCAAAGGTGGCTTTTCTGCTAGGGTGGCTTTGGCATCTCTCTGCCTTCTCTGTTTTGACATGACATCGACATCTCGTGGGAATGGCAACGGGTCCACTTGACTGTATAAGACTAAACTGGAGGAAGCAACAATAACGCCATCTATTCAGTCGACAAACATTTGTGAAATGCCTACCATGTGCAACGGATTATTAGGCCCCGTGCTGTGAAGGGTGAAACATACAAAAATACCGAGCGTCCAGTAGCTGCTAGTTGTTTTTCCTGCATTATCTCATTTCCTCTGAAGAGTGGCCGCCTTGCACCTTTTTCTGAAACCAAACTGTGCCAGGCGCTATTCTAGACATTTTCCACGTACTAACTCATCTCATCCTTACCTCAACCTTATGAGTTAGGTATTGCCCCATTTCATAGCTGAGGATGCTGAAGCTCAGAGAGGGTACTTAGTACCAAGTTCCCACAGCAGGGAGCGGGCAGGGCTAGGAATGGAATCTGCTGCACCCCTCTCCTCCCATGTGAGGTCATGGCCCTAACGAGTGTTTGGAAAAAGACCTTTCACAGAGACACGAAAGGTAACAGAGAATCTAGTTCAATAGAGAAACTGTGGCTCAGAGAGGGAGGATGACTTACCCAAAGTCACACAGCTGATCAGAGGCATAGGTGGGACCAAAGTCAGGTTTGCCATCTCCTGGCTGATGGTCTTGCCACCCCAATAGTTGCTGAAATGATCAGCCTTACGCCTAACGCCTTCCTTCTAGGCCACACCATGGCCAGGGCTCAGGCCCGTGGGCTTGGCAAGCATTGTGGGCACTTGAGGTGCTGCCAAAGGGCACCTTGGACCCTCCCACGCTTTCTTCTGTGCAGCTGAACCCCGCCGGCTGCTGATGCTCTCCGAGGAGCCAAACGTTAGGGAGGGTGAGAAATGGATTTTCCACTTGAGCTCGTCCTCACTGGCTCTGGGTCAGTGTCCTGCTTTTCCATAAATCTACACCCTCCTTGAGAACTGGCCTCACCCGAGTCATGCCCTCCCCAGGGCTGGTGGGATCGAATCCGAACAGCTTGGCCTGGCTGTCAGCCCCACTCTCCCACTTTGCTCCTGGTCTGGCCAGGCCAGTTGTCCCCACTCTGCATGGCAGCCCGTGGCCCCACCCTGGGCTCACTCTTTTGCCCTCCTTATTCCTCCCGCCAATGCTCCCCTCAAAAACCAGGCTCCGTATTATTCGTCAGAGAAACAATTTGGAAATGGCCCAAATGCGCACAGACATAAGGACGGCAAAGCACATCCACTCACAGGGAACTCGCAGATGTTGACAACCTCCCTCCGGAGGCTCCAGAATAATGGGGCAGACGTGGACTGACATGGTGAGTGAGAGGGCGTGCCCCGCGGCCACAGCTGTGCCCGACCTGCGCTTGAGAAAGGCCGGCAGGGATTATTTTAAATGGTAACAATAGCTGTGCGAGGAGGGTAAGGTTGGAATAATCTTCCCATCGTTTCCAAACTTTGTGTAATGCTGCTAGATTGCTTTTATGATAATAACAATAGCAATAAAACTAGCTCCCTCCTCAGAACTCGCTCTCCCTTAATAACCCACGGAGACCTCGCGCCTTCTTCACCCCTCACGCTCCCAGGAACCTGCCGCCTACACTCTGCTCTCCCTGCCAGGGGCTGCGACTGGTGGGGAGGTGCCCAGAGGCACTCCATCCCTCCTCCCCTGGGGGTAGAGACAGTATTCCACCTGTCTCCTCCTTCACATCCACCAACACTCACACACACATCCTTGCTCCCTCATTCACGCACACAACCACCCTCTCATGCACACTCACACACATTTCTCTCATACACATTCATACACATCATCTCTCCCTCATTCACATACACAACCACTCTCTCATGCACACTCATACACATTTCTCTCACTCACACACACACATTTCTCTCACACACATCATCTCTCCCTCATTCACACACACAACCACTCTCTCATGCACACTCATACACATTTCTCTCACACACATTTCTCTCACACACATCATCTCTCCCTCATTCACACACACAGCCACTCTCTCATGCACACTCATACACATTTCTCTCACTCACACACTCACACACATCAACTCTCCCTCATTCACACACACAACCACTTTCTCATGCACACTCACACGCATTTCTCTCACTCATGCACACACACACTCACACACTCTCCCCCACACACTCTCCTCCAGATCATAATCAGCACAGTGCGAGGCCCACAATAGGGCCCCCTTTCCCAACCCTGGCTGACTTGGTGGGGAGAGAGCTGGATTTTGGATTAACTCTCCTAGATTCATACTTTCATACTGAAAAAACTACCTGAGCTCTTGTCTGGCAGAGGTCTAGGATGAGATTTAAGTGGCTTAGAATATTTTCTGGTAAAAGCTACCAAAACAAAGCCCTAGAGCCACAGTGCCTGGGTTTGAATTCTGGCTCCACCACTCACTGGCTGTGTGATCTTAAACAAGTTACTTAGCCTCTCTGTGCCTCAGTAATAATTCCTACTTCCTAGGGCTGTTATGAGGACTAAATGACTTAATATTTGCAAAGAAGGTAGAACAATGCCCAGCAAGTTGTACATGCTACATAAATAAAATAAAAAGTAATTATTTAACTGAAATCAGTATTCGCTGCCCATTCACTCACTGCCTCTCATTCATTCGGTTTTTGTTGAACACCTACTGAGTTCATTAGGCCAGACATGAAGGGCACACGCCTCACTATCTAGTAGGAAACACACACACAACAACAGTAAAAACAGTTTCTTTTCTTTTAGGAAAACGTGATAATTCTAAGCAGAGATTTGCACATGATTCTAAGAAAGGCCAGGGAAAGAACATTTACCTATTACCATGTAAACTCAAAAAAATCACCAAAAACCTACAGTTCAATCCTTTGAATCCATTTAAAAGAATGAATTCGGTCGAACTGATTTGTGTATTTAGATTTAGGTTCTGTACACACAAGCATTTTGGAAAATATTCCCATTCAATGCCATCTACTCAACCTCTCTGGATGTTTTTCTTCCTCCCTCCCTCCCGGATCTCCTTGATCACTCAGAAAATAATCTCCCAGCTCACCCCCAGGCCTCAGTTAAGGGGTGGGAGGGAGAGGGGGTATGGTTCAATCAGACCAGCCCTCAGTCACTTTTAAAAACAGCTTATAAATATTTGGGAGCGGGAGGGAGAGGATGGAGAAAAACCCAGTAACTAGGAACGTCTCTACTGATGAACTGGCAGCGGTTGCATTTTAAAATCTTGATGGTTTAACTCAAACCACTTTGTGAGCTGGTACACGTTTAATGACTGATGGAAAAATGAAATTCAGTCAGTCCGCACCCCTCCCCCAAATCCATTCAATCCTTTTGGACGAAACCGCTTTTAAATGCACTGAACCCAGTCAAGCTGGTGTCTGTGTTTGTAACTCAGGCCGTCCACACCGACCCTGCGGAGTCCGGATCTTCCGGCGTGAGCCGCGCGGGGCTCCCCGGCGGCGGCGCCCAGGCCCCCGCACCTCTCCCTCCGGCTGCTGCTTACGTGCCTACACCCAGCAACCGGGGAAGCGCTCAGCACTGGGAAGTGGCTGGCGGCTGTCACTAGCGGCGGGCCTGCTGTCGACCCCCAGCCCTTCCCTGGCGCACGCCGCCCGCGGACAGACCCCCGACGCCCCCGAACTTCGGCCGCAGACGCTGCACGTGCGGTCTGGCGACTTTCCTAAACTCCAGGCGCCGGGATCGCGTCGCCAGACCCGGGGCAGGAGCCGCCGGCGCAGCGCGGGGACCCGCGAGTGCAAAGGCTGGGAGGGGAGCGCTGCGCTCCCGCGGGCCGGCCGCGGCGGAGGAACCGCAACCGCCGCCGATGCACTCTCCTCCCCGGAGACTGCGATATTGATCCAGAGCTCCGAGGCGCGGGGGACATTTATCTCCACGGATATGAAGCTTTCAGCGGAGGAGAAGGGATAGGAAGGAGCTCCCAGGAGCAGGGCGGGGGCGTGTGGAGTGGGGGAGCCGATGAGAGGGTGCTGGGGCGGGTGAGGAACCCATCTCCAGGGCCTCCTGGCCGGGTCTGCATGGGAGGGGTGGCAGGGAGAACCAAGCGTCGACTCCCAAAGCCTAAAGCGATTCTCGGCACAGAGCTGGTTACCCGGGTGGGCGGACCCCCTCCTCCGCCAACATCCCGGCCGCTTCGCCACAACGATTTCTTTTTTCACCTGAGTTCTCTCCCCACCCACCCAGCACCAGCTCCAAAGGTCCAGGGAGAGGGAGTTGGGCTGCCCCTCAAACCCCGGCCGCCCCCGACCTGTGCGCAGCTCTTCCCACTGACCCCCCATCACAGCCACAGCCCACCCATGTCCCGCGCCGGCCCGGGGCTGGGGGCGCCCGCGCTTCTTACCTTGACGAGCCGGAGCTGAGGGCGCCGTCCCATCCTCGGGCTCGCTCGGTCACCGTCCTGGACGCCTGGGTCCCTCGGACATCCCAGAGGGGCCAGCCGCGGGGGCGGGCTCGGGCGGGGCGGGGATGGGGGGCGGCCTGGCTCCTCTGTCGCTGCCCTGCGCCGAGGCGCCCGGCTCCGCGCTCCCCGGCCCGCAGCCCGGCCCGGCCCGGCGGGCTCTCGCTCTCCCCTTCCCGAGGAAGTCCGGCCGCCGTTTCCTGACTCAGCCCGGCCCGCAGCCGCCTCTCGCCCCCGCCGCCTCCCCCTCGGTCCGCGCCGCTCTTCGCCTCGGCTCCCCGCCCCCTCGCCTCGGCGTCCCCTCCCCTCTCTCCCTCTCCCCTCCCTTCCCCTTCGGTCCCTCCTCCGCGCCTCGCCCCTCTGCTGCCTCCGCCACCCCGCCTCCCCGTCCCCTCCCCTTCCCCGGGCCAGCTCCTCGCGCCCTAGCCGCGCTGACCCCCTTTCCCTGCGCCCCGGTTTGCGGCAGTCGGCGGGGCGCACTGGCGGCAGTGGCGGCAGCCGCAGCCCAGGGAGAAACCGGGGATGGGGTTGGGGGGTGGGGGGAGACGCGCGGGAGAGGAGGCAGCCTCTCAGCTCCTGCCGGCTTGAAGTCCGGGCCTGGGGAGTCCAAGGAGTCTGAGGGGACTTGGGGGCCTCTGGCAAATCTATGGGAGCGAGGCTATTGGAGACTGGGGAATAGAGCAGCCCCGGCTGAGCGGAGCCTCCGCGGAAACCAGGTGGAGCTGAGGACTGCGTTTGGGCAGTTCCCGCCCTGCAGCCGGCGGGGAGAAGGTCCTCACTGCCCCCGCCTCAGCGAGGCCTTTGGCGCTGACACCCCAGGTGCGCGCAGGGACACGAAAACTCTGCGGCAGAAACCTCATTCATTCATTCATTTCATTCATTCGTTCTTTCATCCATTCATTCATTCTACAAACTAAGCGCCTGCCCAGTTTGGTCCCAGCAAGGGGCTGAACCTGAGAACCCCAAGATGAAGGGGAGACGGCGGTGCCCTGCAGGACTAGCGGACGTCTGAACGCCGCGGCGGGGAAAGCGGAGCGCATTGCGCTGCGGCGGGGGAAAGCAGCTAGGAATCCAGCGGGCAGAGTGTGGAGGAGGCCACAGCGCCCCCTCTCGGCCGAGCCCTCAGGGTAGGGATCAGCACCCCCGCCAGACCTCCCGGTCTTCATCGAGTTGGGCCCTCTAGCTTCCCATCCCACCTTCAGCTCCGGGAAGCAGCTCCCGCCTCTTCCAGCCCCTTAAACTTTCCCCTCCAGCCCCTCCAGTTGGACAGAACTTTTGGCTTCCTTCTATCTCTTCCTTCCTCCCGCCAGCGCTGAGAAGGGAGATAGAGAAAATCACTCCACTCACAGAGCCTCGGCCTTCAGCGCCAACCGCAGCCCCTCCAGAGGAAGCCAGAGCTTCTGCGCGGAGCGCGGTCCCAGAGTGGTAGTCAGCCGGCTCTGAGATCAAACTCTGAACCCAACTGCCCTGGATTCTGTGTTCTGCCGCGCCCACGCCCCTCCTGCCTTCCACCCACTTCTCAGCACACTGGGCAAGAGTCAGCACGCTCACGATTCCAACTGGTTCTTCATTTAGAAAAGGAGTTATTGTAAGAGGTCCTGTGATCCAACACGCACAGTTTACTGGTGAGGAAACTGAGGCACACAGAGAGATGGTGACCTGTCCAAAGTCCCATAGCTGGCAAGCCTAGTCCTCAGTCTCCTGATTCCCAGCTTAAAGTGCCTGGAGGGCTGGGCCCTGATGGGGTTTGGGGCTCTGAGGTGGGGAGGGGCATTGCCCAGGAAGCCAGCTGGTCACACTGGCTTAGCCACACGGGGAGGCTCTTTCTAAATAAAGCACACAGTCTCCAGTCTGGCAAGACTCCCATTAGAGCTGGTCATGCTGAATCGTACACGACTAACCCCAACTAATTCTAGAAGAAACGGATGTACCAACCAGATGGACAATTTATTGTTCTCAACAAAAACTAAATGCAGAGTGGTCTAGTGTAGTGCGGGTTCTGGAATCAGGCAGCCTAGCCTGAGTTTGAGCCTTGAGTCTTCCACTTACAAGCTATATAAACCTGGAAAATTATTTGACAGTGCCTCAATTTTCTCATCTATAACATGGGGGTGGGAATACCCACCTCATAGGGTTGTTGGGAGGTTTAAATGCGCTAACATTTGTAAATGACTTGGAAAGGTGCCTGGCACATAACAAGGACTTAATGAAGGTTAGCTATAGTCACCATCACTATCATCATCATCATCATCATCATCATCATCATCATCATCATCATCAAGTGGACCAGATCCTCAAATGTATGGGCAGGGTGATCCCTCCTCTAAGCAATTCTCTGTGGGAAGCAGAATTCTTGATTAGAAGGCCACAGCAGCAGTGGATTGTGGAATCAGAGGAGAGGAAGCTGGTGGGTCCTCAGGGAGGTTTGCCCAGGCCCTGCAGAGACTTCACTCCCTAGACCTGCCCCACTTTGGAGCTGACTCTCCAGGGAACAGACAGCTCCAGATTTCCAGATTCTGTGTTTCTCTCTGCTTAATATTATGCCTTTCTGAGCCCCGTCTTCCTCCCCTTGACATGATCTTGAAATATGCTAATGCCATCGGTTAGGCTGTAATCAAGTCTTGCTCTTGCCTTTTTGGCCTGGGATTCAGACCTTCTCTTTCTAAAGGGGCACCTACAGACGGCACATTTCATCCCGCTGGTGTTGATGGTCTGTGTTGATTTTGCTGACTTAACCCGCACTCCCCCACTCCACCCGCCCCCGCCTGGAGTTGGCAGGAGGGGGCTTCTGTACCACTCCGGGATACTTAGTCATAGTTTTGGCCTTGACCGCTTTGTGAGGGTTATGAGAGTCTCAAGTTTAACACCCTCTTTGTAAAAAAATTCCATATCCCCTTTCATTTGTCCTGAAACTGCTCCCTTCCACCTTCAAAAGCCCAGCTCTCGTCTGCTCTGCTTGGTGAGGATGCCAGTGCCCAGGTCTTCCATGCCCTTTCCCCCTCAGCCCCAGCTCTCCAGCCAACCAGCCCAAGGCTCAGGGTGGTCTCTTTAGGCAGCCTCTCCACCCTCCTCAGGACAGCCTCCTGCTCCATTCCAGCATTCTCTTCACAGCCTGACCTTCCCCAAATCTCTCTTCTTCCTGTCCAGGCCTAGACCAGAGTCAGCTGTCATTTGTGGAACCAAATTTGGAGGAAAGGAGAAATATGAGGAATCTAAACAGGAATAAAAGCCAATTCCAGGTCCTTCCAAACAGTAGGAAAGACAGATGTGAGAACAAGTAGTGATGGTGGGACCCAGGGAGGGAGGGCTGAGAAGGCCCTTCTGCCTGTGGGGCTGTGAGGTGCCATTGGCTTTAACTCTGGTCATCCCAGTGAAGTCGATGGTCTGGAACCATACTTCTCAGACTACTTGTGCCGAAGAACCAGTTCTTGATTTTTAAACTTCTATCTGTTGCAGACTGATACTATTGCAAAATAAAATGGGAATGAATTATTAAAAAATGAAATAAAAAATAAAGACATACAAAATAAAAGCCCAATTTTTAAAACTATCATATCCAATGGACATAAAACTACTCTGTCAAATTGCTTAAAAATTTCTAAATGCTTCCCTCAATTTCTGCACTTAACCTTGTCATGGACTGGCAACAAATAATCTGCAGACAGATCAAGCTTGGAATAGCACTGGTCTAGAATGCTTCTGAAGTATGAGGTCAGGAAAATGGCCTCATGGAGGGAGCAGCTTACAAAATCGCATGAACATCGGGGGAGATGGTGTTAATTACTCCATTCATCTGTGCATTCATTCAACAAACATTTAATGAGCAGCAACTATGTGCCAGTCACTTGGACGCCATGGCTAATAAAGATTACTACAACAGGGCCCTAGCCCTCAAGATGTTCACAGACTGGAAGGGCAAGCCACTTTGATAAATAATTAAAAGCTAGTGAAATCAGGTCAATAATAGACCAGGCACCATGGGCATGGAGGCAGGAATATCAATTCTGCCCAGGGCCAACAGGGAAGGTTCTCCCAAGGAGGTGATATTGTGCTGGAGTCTGGAGGCAGAGAGGCAGATGTTTGCTCCCATATGGCCAGCTGGCACTCAATAAACGAGTTAATATGTGTAAAGTGTTTACCGCAGTGCCTAGCACATAGTAAGTGCTTCAAAAGTGTTAGTTGTTTTGATTATTAAATTTTGTAAATTATCATCGTCATCATCTACCCAGATCTACCCAGCAGTGTGCATAACTTTGGCTGGGTGTTGTGGGGTTGTAGGTAGCTCAGCTGGGGGAAGAGAGCAAACTGGCCTTGACACACCCACTTTGTCAGAGGAAAGATCTTCTGGAAAAGGTGGGTTGGGAATTGTGTATTGAAGGAAATGGGTGTGGACAGGTGAAGAAGAGAGAGGGAGACCTTCAAAGCAGGAGGGTCCCTTAGAGACACAGCCAGAAGAGCAAATATGGGGCAGGGAAGGAGACTGGTCAGATGGAGACAAGCGACGGGGGTGCAGTGACTGGATGAGGCTCAGCAGTCAGCGGGGGGACGGTGACGGGCTGAGAATCTCCTCGGATAAGGGGCTTGATATTGTTCATTCTTTCATTTAGAACAACAGATAATAATACTGATCAGGATTTGTGTGGCAGACTGTACCACACAGCTCTTTCACAAACATTTTCTCATTTAATCCTTACAACAACCGTGTGAAGGAGATATTAATAGCCTCTCTTTACAGAGGAGAAAGCTGAGCTCAGAGGTTGGTACCTTGGCCAAGGTCACACTGCTGCCCTTGGCACAGGCAGGATTCCAGCCCAATGTCCCCAGCTCCCACTCCAGATATTTTCCAGTGTAACACAGAGAGGTGACCTGAGCCTAGACCCCCAGGGAGCTGTGACATCACCTATAGGAGATATAGGCGGCTCCAGGAAAATGATGCTCCAGGACCAATCTTTCCCTTTTTCTTTTCCCAGTGGACACACAAAAAGAGAAGGGCAGAGGCAAGCTATGAGACAGAGCTTGGCAGTGACAGCAGGCAGGGGTGGGCCACTCAGGTGACCTACCTGCTCCTCCTCCTCCCCTTGAGTCTGAGTCTGTATCAATCAAGGGCAAGTGTGCCTACCCTGAGCACAATTACCATATTTTTGCATTTATTAAGTATGGCTGAGAGAGCCAATGAAGTTGTTTGTTTTTAAGAAAACTTTTTAAAGATGCATTGAAACAAGAAGGGTTGACACCCTGGGA